GGGGAGGAGGGCAGCAGGGAAGAGAGGTCCATGGGAAAAAAGAAAGAGCTGTGACCTTTGCCCTCAGATGAGAGCAGGGGTTACAGGTAACCTCACAGCCCTCCCTTAGCTTCCTCCAAGAGGAAGGACCAGACGGGGAGAGGGGGGTGGCCCAAAGTCACATGGTGTGTCCAGGACAGAGCTAGAGATAGAATGAGGGAACACACCCAGGATATGGCTGCCCAGATGCTCAGGGCCCTGAGTGACAGGAGCAGGCCGTGCCTGTAATAGCAGAGAGGACTCCCCACTCCTTCCCCAGTAGCTCCCAACACAGGGATCTCAGATGGCCAGGGTGCTGCATCTGGTGGGCTGAAGCCAGAGGAGGTGCCGCAAAGAGCTCCTCATCCTCCCCTTTCTTCCCAGGAGGGCAGAGGTCAATCCTGAGCCGCTTCCTATCTGGGGCTCAGGACAGGGCCCAGGCCACACACCTAGAATGTTGCTGGCACTCACTGGTGGCTGGAGCAGCTGCTGACACATGGGGTAGAGACCCCTGGAACCCCGGGTCTAGGGCCCACCAGCCCCTCCTCACCCCATTACCTTGGGCCCATTCTCCCTGACACTGATGCCAGCAACCTGCTTCTGGAAAGAGCAGGCCCTGGAACCCAGCGCCTCTTCCTCCTCTTCTTCCTCCTCCTCTTGGATGTCTGACAGATCTGAGTTTCGGCCATGGTCCCCAAGGGAGTTCACTAGACACACCCCGAGCTCTGCCATGTCCTCCTTCTGCAAGAGGTGAGACAAAGGAGGTGGGGGGGAGGGCAGAGAAGGACTCGGGGTGGGGGCACCCTGGCAGGGTCAGCCCCAGCCAGAATGAAGCCAGAATGAAAGGAACCCCTTGGCAGAGGGAGAGGGTCGTGTCCCAAATGGGGGTGTACACGAGGGGGTGGAGGAGAAATCTGGGAAGATACAGTGGCAAAGAAATAGACAGCTACGCAGCACAGACCAGAGCACAGAACCAGCAGAGGGGGCCAAGCTTTGGCTGACAGGAGGCAAGGAGGCAGGCCCGATTCTTTGAGGTGGCACAGTACGTCCCTAACCCCGTACCTCAGCCCTGGGCCTCAGCCCAGCCCCTGTGTCTCCTCCAAGGCTGGCCTCAGCACAGGGCACCTTCGGGGCCGGTGCCCCCTCCGTGGAGCAGGGTGCCAGGCAGGCCTCTCCCGCGGTCCCCTCAGCCTCGTCCTGGGCCAGTGAGGAAGCTGCAGGGCCAGGAGCTCTCTCCCCCACGGCTGGCTCTCTGGCCCTCCTGTCATCTGAGGTGCCCAGCACAGCTGCCCCGGCCTCCTCCTGGAATGGAAGGCACTGAGGAAGGGCCCAAGCCCCGGCCCTTCTCCCAGCCTCCACCTGCGCCCCCCTGCCCAGTAGGGTACCTGGGAGCAAGGTGCTGTGGGCTCCTCTTGGGATCCTCTTGTCTCTCCGGGAGGGCTGGCTGCGGGAACTCCATGGGGTTCTCTAGTTCCATGGGGCTTGGGGCATTGGAGGGGAGAGCTAGGGTCTCCAGGAGCTGGAGAGGCTAGAGCAAGGGGCGGCCTGGCCTCTGAGCCTGGCCATGGTGAGGGGCAGGAGACCCTGGCCGGCAGGCAGGCCGCAGCCAGGGCCGGGCCCACGGGAGCTGGAAGGGAGTCGGCCGACTCGCCATGGGGCGACATGGTGCGCACGGCCACCTCACTGCACACCTGCAGCAGCTGCAGCTGGGACAACTCCACCAGCACGCTGCCCGCTGTGGGCGAGGCCACCTCCATGATCTGCAGGGCGGAGGGAGCACAGGACAGGAAAGGGAAGCTGGGATGACCAAGTGTGAGGACACAACGACCGGGGTGACTCGCACTGGCCAGGCGCCGTGCTGAGCCCTTGCCCTGCCTGCCTCATTTAATCTGCCTGTCGCAGGGCTTCAGTGCTAGGATGGTTTTTTGAATCCCAGTTACCGAAGCCCATGCTCTTCTTAACTAATCTGCTACCTAGTGCCCAAATGCCAGGGGCTGGGCATCGCTGTGCCAGGCTGGGGAGACTGGGCCTCAGAGCATGGCAAGGAGAGACCCACATCCAGCTCCTAGGGTACAGATGGACAGAGTCGCCAGGCCGTACCTTCTGCCCATCGGCATAAATGGCATAGCCTGTGACGCGGACGCCATTGGAGGTCCCAGCAGCATCTATGGTTACGGGGAGCCAGCTGATGATCAAGATTCCAGGAGAGGGCCCCGGCTCAATCTGCACATCCAGGGGGGCATCGGGTGGGCCTGGGGGAAAGGGACACAGACCCAGTAATGCAGGACACTCACCCCTGAAGATACCGCCCACTTTGCCACTTCCCAGGAAATGCTAATAACAGCAGTCTCTCCTTCCACTACCCCCCAGGGCCTGGCCTGCTGGGTGTTACAGACAGTCAATGCCCAAGCCTGCATACCTGCTGGGAGTGTCGTGAACTGCAGGGTGGCAGTCCGCTGCTCCGGCCTCTCCCAGCCTGGTTCCCAGGATCCTCCAGGTAGGAGCTGAGCCTCCACGCGGGCCTGATAGAGTGTGCCAGGCCGCAGGTTGCAGAAGGTGGCCCAGTAGGTGCTGGGGCGGGCAGGGGGGCATTCTTCCCCGTTGAGGTAGATGGCATGAGCCAAGTTGCTATTGCCGGGCACCCAGGTGATCTCAGCAGAAGTGGCTGTCAGTCGATGGACGCGTAGCTGGCTAGGTACCACCCCGGCCCTGGCACCCATGGCCAAGCAACAGCGCAGAGGGTCAGAGCTGCCCCGGCTGGTCAGGGCCTGCACGGAAACACGGAGCGGCCCGGCCCCGGCCCGCAGGTCCAGGTTTTCAAGCACAGCCTTGGGGGGCGCCCCAGGTCCCAGGGCCTGACGCAGCTCCCCATTCACGCAGATCTGGTAGCCATGCAGCTCCACTCGCTCAGGAGGCGGCTCCCAGGCCAGCACCACGCTGTGGGCCAGCTGCTTGAGGACGGCCAGATGGCGGGGGTAAGGCACAGCATGGGGCTCGCCCAGGCCTTCGGGTGAGGGGCTCAGACTGAGCTCATCCCCTGCAGTCTCCTCCTCTGATCTGGGCTGGCTGCGTCCCCCGACACTCTGGCCCCCGCTACTGCTGCCACCTCCACCACCGCTCAGGAAACTAAGTTCAGGGCCTGAACTGTGGGACAAATCGGCCAGCTCCGAAGGGAGGGAGGTCAGGAGGTCGTCGTCAGACACGCGCTCTACAAAATTGGAAGGAACCAGGCCCCTTCGGCCATCCATGAGCTCCCCTGGCGGAGGGAGGGCAGGGAAGGGAAAGGCAGAGAAGAGGTAGAGAAAAACCAGCCCAATGAGTGCATTTTAGCAATGGTCAGTGGGTGATCTTAAGCATTTGATTCAAATCAAGGTTTGCCTGTCAGTACTTTTAAAAGACAAGAGCAGTCAAGACCTAGATTAGGGAGTTACTGTTCGTTTTCGTAAGTGTGATCACAGTATTGTGGCCATACAGCACAGGGCTCCTTATTTTTAATGTGTGCGTGAATCACCTGGAGGTTTGTTGAAATGCAGATTCTAATTCTGTTAGGTCTGGGTGAAGCTGAGATGGTGCGTTTCTATCTAGTCCGGAGGTGATACTGATGCTACAAGGATGTAGGCGGATGTCGGTGCTCTGAGGAGGTGCGTGTTGAAGTATGTTCCAGGTGGGATTAGAAGCAGGCCCAGGGCTGGCGGTCAGTCTAGGCAGCGACCAAAGGTCAGTTCTGTTACCTGTGCCAGCTCCCCTGAACACTTGACCACCAAGTATTGGAACATGTGCTGTTGTTTATTTGAGGGACGTCAAGGAAGGAAGAAATTGGGCACACAGCATGTCATGTCAAGCTAATTTGAGAGAAGGAGAAATCCCCAGGCCCTGTTACCCAGTCTCAGTAATGGGACATCTGCCTCAGTTGCCTGGTCTCCCCCCTGGAGAACTGCTCTGAAGCCCACCCCCTGCCTGGGCCCTGACACCTGCTAACTACCTGCTAACACCCCTTCCTGGGCTCTGGACCCTGATTCCTCCTCCCTACACCCAGCTGGAGTCCAGCATCAGATCTGTGCTACCTGTCTGACCTCGATGTCGCTACTGTTAAACACTGCCATACTCTGTCTGCCAGCACAAAGGTGAATTCAGTCAAAATCCCGTGTCACTGTCTATCATCTGCACTGTGCGAGGCCTTGTCCTGACCTGCAGTCAGGCCAGCTGCCCCCTTTCCCAATACCCTTCCTTTCCCGTTCCCCACAGGCTGCCAGGTCTCTGTTGCCTTGTAGGTGAGTCTGAAAAGTTACGGTGGGCAGAGCCGAGCATGCTGGGGATAGGGTATGGATGGGTGGAGGTCTTTGGGAAGAAGAGCTTAAAAGCAGAGGAATGGACAGAATGACCCCACCACCTTCCTACCTTCAAAAAAGCCATCCTCATCCATGTTGCCATAGATGTAGATATACTCGCCAGCAGTAAGCGGAAGTTCTGCCTCTGGATTCTCATTGGGGCCCTCGAAGGGGTTGTAGCTGTTGGAAGAGGCACAGAGGAGGAGGAGGAGGAGGAGGAGGAGGAGGAGGACTGTGACCTACATCCTACCTCCATGTCTCATTTCCTCTCCCCACTGCCCCAGGCCTTTATGGAGACTTGGTTGTCCACCTTTAGCCAAAGAGAATGCTCACTGCACCCACCTTGGCCCAACTAGGTTAAGAGGACATGTTCAACTGGGATCCCTACACCAACCCCATCTTCCCCAAATGCCTCTGTCTTCTCCAGGCCCCTTCCTCCCACCCACCCCACATGCTGGGGGGATAGGGAGCAGGGTGAGAGGCCCACCTATAGCGTGCTAGGAAGACCTGGATCCTGGCTCCTCCCCGGCTGCCCTCTGGCGCTGCTGGGAGCAGGGAGACAGTGTCTGCCTCCAGCTCCTCCACCTCACTAGCTGTGTCCACCTGGGGGAAAACAGAAAGGGCCAGTCCTCTCCATGACCCAGGGCCAATGGCCAAGCAAGCAGGTTTCCAGGCTGAGCCAGAGGAGGACCCTCTGAGAAGGGAAAATGAGTACAAGGCCCATAGCAATGAGCCCCGCTGTTTTCTAAATCCACTCCTGAAGGAGGAGGAGGAGGAGGAGGAGGAGGAGGAGGAGGAGGACTGTGACCTACATCCTACCTCCATGTCTCATTTCCTCTCCCCACTGCCCCAGGCCTTTATGGAGACTTGGTTGTCCACCTTTAGCCAAAGAGAATGCTCACTGCACCCACCTTGGCCCAACTAGGTTAAGAGGACATGTTCAACTGGGATCCCTACACCAACCCCATCTTCCCCAAATGCCTCTGTCTTCTCCAGGCCCCTTCCTCCCACCCACCCCACATGCTGGGGGGATAGGGAGCAGGGTGAGAGGCCCACCTATAGCGTGCTAGGAAGACCTGGATCCTGGCTCCTCCCCGGCTGCCCTCTGGCGCTGCTGGGAGCAGGGAGACAGTGTCTGCCTCCAGCTCCTCCACCTCACTAGCTGTGTCCACCTGGGGGAAAACAGAAAGGGCCAGTCCTCTCCATGACCCAGGGCCAATGGCCAAGCAAGCAGGTTTCCAGGCTGAGCCAGAGGAGGACCCTCTGAGAAGGGAAAATGAGTACAAGGCCCATAGCAATGAGCCCCGCTGTTTTCTAAATCCACTCCTGAGCCAGCAGATCCTAGCAAAGCCCAGCTGCTGCAGAGAGAGGGAGTGGGGACAACCTGGGTCCCTCCTGGAGCCCTGACTTCTTCTGCACCAGCCCAGGAAATGACCACTTTCCCCATCGGAGAGGGGGCCGGCCACACTGGTACGGGTGGGTGTCCAATGGCAGTTGTCTCCTTAAGGTAAAAACACAGCAAAGCACTCGAACTATAAACAGGTGAAGGCAAGGAGGCAGAAGGACAAAGAAGTCCCTTTGTCCCTTTGTGAGAAGTGTACTGAGCACTGGGCATCCAAATCCAGCACCACCACTCTGTCCCACAAGGGGGCAGTAGAGGGCCGGGGCTGGGTTCTACCACTTCCCACAACCTGGGGCAATAGGGCTGCTCCAGCCCGCCCTCCACTTTCTGGAGTTTGGGAGGTAGGAGGTGATTGGAAGAGTTGGGAGTGATGCCCAAGAACTCGGTGATAATAAGAGCTGCCACATTGAAGTATTTGGTGTGTGCTCTGCACTGAGGGAGGCACTTTCCTTATATTTTTTTCATTTAATCCTCACAACAAACTTACAAGGCAGGTTTTATTAGCTCCAAAATCCAAACAAGGAAACCAAATCCCAGAAAGGGTCTTGCTAAGACAACACTGGGATCGGAATCGCGGAACCTGTGCTCTTTCTCACACGCCCATCACTTCTGCTGCAGCCACTCTCATGAACAGTCTCATTATGTGGATCCTGGCGCCATGGTATCTCCCTCCAGCCAACCCGGGACTTCTCTAGGGCTTCCCTGAGCCCCAGTGGGGTGGGGCTGGGTGGCTCCAAGGTAGGGCCTTCAGGGTGGCCCTGGAGACCAAGATGGCTCCTCCTTGAGTTCCCTGCGGACCAGGAGGAATCTACGGGCCCTTCTCTCCCAGGGCCTGGCTCCACTTCCCAACGTGGGACCCCCCATAGGCCAGAGGTCACCCAACTCCTGGGGACCCCACAGAGGTCAGGGCCACCTCCCCTCCCACTTTGCCGAGGCAGAGCCAGAACCCAGGCCCCTCCCCAGCACTGACCTCAGGCGTAGGGCATGACTTTGGGCTGTTGTGGATGGACTCAGAGTGAGAGGAGTTGGAGAGAGACTCTGCCTTCTTGGCTGTCCTTCGAGGGACCCCGAGAAGGGTGGCAGGGGCAGGCTCAGAAGACTTTGGGGTGCAGCGTCCTGGGGAGCCCGGCAGGAGGTCAGAGTCTAAAGAAAAGATGGCACATGGGTGGGTGTGGGGTCTGTGGCCTGAAGAGGGACCAGGGACCAAAGTCCAGCTGCTTGGATTATGGGGGTCAGGCCCGCCATAGCTGGGTTTCCTTAAAGAAGGGAAATATTTGGGAAAACTTAGTGAGTAGAGGTAGAGGAACTTTACATATATTATTTCACATGATCCTCAGAGCAGCTTGATGAGGTGCACTGAGTTTTTCCTTTTTTTAAAAAATATATTTTATTGATTATTGTTTACAGAAAGGAGGGGAGAGGGACAGAGAGTTAGAAACATCGATGATAGAGAAACATCGATCAGCTGCCTCCTGCACACTCCCCACTGGGGATGTGCCCGCAACTAAGGTACATGCCCTTGACCGGACTCGAACCTGGGGCCCTTCAGTCTGCAGGCCGATGCTCTATCCACTGAGCCAAACCGGTTAGGGCAAGTTTTTCCTTTTTTATAACTTAGGAAACTAGGGGCCCAGTGGTTTAGCAGCAAGCTCAAAATTACATGGACTATTGAGTGAACAGAGTTGGGACCCTCAGGTCTGACACCCAACTCCTTACAAGCCCACACTGCCTGCCATAGAGCTCTAGAGCCCAACTCCCGACCACAAACACAGAGGTCTTATTGGAGGGAAGGACCAGTGGCCTGAGACACCTGGGCCAGACTCGGGGACAGCCACTCCAGACCTGGCTCTAACTTGCTGTGTGACTTCGGGTGAATTGCTAGCCTTCTCTGACCCTCAACTTTCTGCTCTATACAAATCCCCAAGCCTGGGGATTCCAGGCTAATGGCACTGGGAGTCTACCTTACCTTTGGGGCCGGATCCCCGGCAGGGCTGGGGGTTGGAGCAGCAGCAGGGGGGTGGTGGGCGATCCCCAAGGGTACTGCAGCCCAGGGCTGAGGTGAGCAGATCCAAGGGGCCAGGGTGCAGGCGGAAGGCCTGGAGTTCCTGTGCCAAGAGGCTGAAGCGTTCTGTTTGGCTGCGGCACTGCTCCTCGAGCTCTCGAACCCGGACCTGAGCCAAGACCCACCGTGAGCCACCAGGACCGGCAAAGCTGCCCAGTCCCAACCTGTGCCATCTCCACATAGCCGCACACAGGGCTTCAGACCACATCGCCCAGCCCCTAGGCCTGGCTATCGATCCTGGGCCTGGCTGCCCCATTGCCCTTAGTAGTGTCTAAGCTAAGGGTAAAGTGCTGGAGCTGTGGGACATCACATGACACTCCTCCAGAGAAGAGCTGGGCCTGCTTCACACTCAGCACACCCTCTCGCCCCAGGCAGTGGCACTTCCTGCTTCTGGCTGCTTTCTAGGCCAAAAGGGATGGCTCCCATCCCATCACTACCACCAATATCAGCTCAGGAGTTTTCTTGGCTCCACTGCTTGTCACCCTCCCACAGTCAGTGACCCAAATCCCTGCCTTCAGAGAGGTCCCCAGAGAGACCACACACGGGAGCTAGGGACATCTTGTGACAAGAACGAGCCAATTCTCAAGACCTCTTCGTCAGGTATCCCGAGAGTCTCAACCTAAGGGGCCCTCCCCTGGCCAATGTCAAGAGGATCATGGGTTAGGCTGATGATGAACTTGCTCATGGGCTCAGTGGCTAGGCTTTAGAGGAGGGAAGGCCCCATGTCTGCCAGGTGTAGTAGCAGGTCTGGGACAAGGAGATGGCCCACATGTCCTGTGGGAACCCCAGCCCATCTACAGACTCTCAGGTCTGCTCTGGTCACTCTTTGCTCTGTTGGACATGAGAGTTGGGACCACTTGGGCCTGAGGGAGGAGATGCAGCTCAGTGGGCCAGGGAGGTGGGAGACTGGGAGGCTGTACCTGCATGGAATCCAGGGTAGACTGTGGCAGGAAAGAAAGCACAGAGGAGAGATTAGATCCTGAGACGGTGTGTCATCACCCAGAGAGGGAGAGCGAGAGACAAGGGCCCAAGTGGACACCCTCTGGCCAGCTCCCTGGACTGACTGAGCAGTTCCTAAATTGAAGGCTATTTCAAGGTGAAGGCATCCTCTGGGAGGGGGGAGGGGGGATAGGGGGTAATGAGACTCCTGCCACCAGACCCTGCCTGGCTGTGCCCTAGCCTGAGAAACAGGCCAATGGTGGAGGGGATTCTCCAGGCACTAGAGTATTTAAGGGCCCTTCCTGCAACCCCACACCCCACACAGTCCACTCCAGCTCTCTCTGAACTTCCCCTGCCTCCCCCCAAGCTGGTGTTGCTGGTGGCCACCTCCAGGGACTTACCTCCAGCAGCTGCACGGCCCCTTCATGTTCCCTCTTAGCTTCTGCCTGGGCCTACAGGTGGGAGGAGGCAAAATGCTGGAGGGGAAGGATGAGGAATGGGGGTGGGATAGAGGGAGATGGAAGGGAGGGTAGGAAGGGCAGATGGAGGGCAGAAAAAAGGGGAAGGAAAGGGAGAGGCAGAAGGAAGAGGGGCTGAGGGTTCCTCCCTTCCAGACTCCTACCCCTGAGCCATACCTTAGGCCAGAAGGCAATAGGGTCAAGGAGAGGTGGGCCTGATGCTGTCTCTCTCTTTCCAGGGCATCCACCCTCCAGTTTCCCTCCTATCTCTCTGGGACCTCCTCCTCAGTCTCTTTCTCCTGCTCCCCTTTTGAATGTTGGGGTGCTACTGAGCCCACTTTATACTCTTTACTCTCTCCCAAGAGGCCCTTCTAGTCAAATGACTAGACACACTGATGACCCCAAAACTACCTTCAAGACCAACTTCCCCATGACTCCAGACTCATTGATCCAACCGTCTATGAGCATCTCCACTCGAATGTTTAACACACAACCCAAACTTGGCCAAGACAGAGCTCAGAACTCAGGACTCCCTGCCTCTCAGGTCCTGGGGAGTGAATGTCTATGAGCATCTCCACTTGAATGTTTAACACACAACCCAAACGGCCAAGACAGAACTCAGGACTCAGGACTCCCTGCCTCTCAGGTCCTGGGGAGTGAAAGCCCCACCCTTTATCAGGGTTTACTCAGCAAACGGGTAACAGAGTGGAGATTGTCGTTGTACGACTGGAATCCGTGGAATCTTGTTGATTCTATATCCAAAATACACTTCAAATGCATCCACTTGTTTCCACCTTCACTGCCCGTTCCCTAGTCTAGATGGCCACCATCTCCCACCTGGACCCCTGCAACAGCCCCAACACCTGATGGCCCTGCTCCATGCCCACTCCCCCAGCCCATCTTCCACGGCGCTGCCAATGTCACCTTCTAAAATGATGAAGTCACATCATGCTGCTCCCTATTGGGGACCTTTCAATAGCTTCTAACCACTCAGAGAGCAAAATATCCAAACTCCTTCAACAGCCTTGAATGCTCAAGGTGATCTGGCTCCTGCCTGCCCCTGCTGTTCTGTCCCTCCAACTACGTTCCAGCCACTCTGGTCTGGATCCCAACCTCTTTCCCACAACAGGGCATTGGCACTTCTGGTCCCCTACCTGGAGTGCTCTTCAGCTGGCTCCTTCGTGACCTGGAGGTATTAAAACCTCCCCTGCTGACCTAAAGTGGTCCCTCAGTCACTCGGTCACATAACCCTATCCACCTCCCCCACTGGGATCATCTCAATCACAGATCGGCTTATTTGCTGATTGGTCAGGGACATGGTCTTTGCCCACTGTCCCCCAGCACCTGGCACATAGTGGGTGCTCAGTAAATGCTTGTTGGATGAGTGGATGACTAGGCTGAGGTCCAGCAGCCTCCCACTCTTCCAGCACGCCTGCCCCCTAGACACCCTGTCCCCACCTGCTGCAGCCTCCGGACCTCCTCCTGCTTCTCCTGAAGGCTGAGCTGAGCCTGCTCATGCTCCACCTCCAGCTGCTGCCGCCGCTGGGCCACCTCCCGCATGTGCTGGAATACAAGAGCCTGTGTCAAGGCCAGAGACCCACCACCATTTCTGTAAAGATCTAAGATGAGGGGGGCTCAGATAACATGTGTTCCAGACACCCTCTAAGGCTACAAAAGGAAAGGGGCTCGCGGCTCCAAGACTGGGCCTCAGACCCCAGTGCCCCACAAAGGGCATATTCTACTGTCCCACTGTTCTCTCTGTGCCAAGTACCAATACTCTCCCCTCCTCCCCCACCAACACAGCCCTCTCACCTTCAGCACCTGCTCCAGGCTCTCCAGCTTGCTCTGCAGGCCCTGGCTCTTGCGAAGGGCCAAGTCCCTCTCCTGTGTCACCCCCAGGAGCTGGTCCCTCAGCTCTGCATTCTCCCACTCCACCTGGAGAGGGGGGAGTGGCAGGGAGTTGGGTGTGTGGGCCCTGTCCCACCAGCTCCTTCACCGGGGAGAACAGTACCCTTCCTACTCCAGCCCAGTTCAAGGTGTGGAGGAGACAGCCCCTTGCCAGGGACCAGGGCCCTAGCAGGATCCCAAGCCACACAGCACCCGTGTGGAGTGGCTACCTGGTCCTTCTCCGTGGCTCTCCCACTGAGCCGGGAGTTCTCATCCACGAGGCGGGCATTCTCATTCTGGGCTTCTCTCAGCTGCAATTCCTGAGAGACCAGAGGAGCTCTGGGGAGGGAGCCTGGCACCCACATTCCTCCCCTCTCCACACAGAGGACCTTGCCCTCCCAGTCCGGCCTTCCTCCCCCACCTGGAGCCTGCATCAGCCAGGAAAGGAGCCCTGCCGCAGCACAGGGAAAGTGTGCTCCTCAGGGCAAGAAGGATAAAAGCGGAGCGGAGAGGGAGCCGCCACCTGGCTGGCCTGGGGGACGGGGGAGCTGGCCTCTGGGAGGCCCTCCAGAGCTCACCAGCTCCTCACATCGCCTCTGCTTTTTTCGGGCTTCCTGCTCCAGGCTCTGGCATTTCTTCCGCTTCTTGCTAAGCTCTGACTCCTGAGGGGTCAGAACCAAGGGCTCCTCATGTGGGAAGGCAGAGCTGCCCACAACAGGCCTCCTCCAGCCCTTGCCCTGGGACTTACCAGCTGCTGCACCCTCTGCTGTTTCTCTGGCTCCCCTAGGACCACGGGTGGGGTTTCCACATCCTCCTGGGGAGTAGCCTGGAAATGCCCAGGGGCACGGGACTGGCACCTGAGAACAGGGCCCCAAGGCAGCCTGCTCCCAGCCCAGCCTGTCCGTTGGAGGTTCCCACCTCATCTCACAGTCAACCAAGAGATCCCTGTGCAGGAAGTGC